CTTTTCTAATTTAATCTTATAAAAATAAATGTATTGCTCATGCATCTGTAGATGTTAGTAATGTATCGTATACGTAAAATTTAAAAATAATCATACAGAAACTTTGGAGTTTTTTGGTTTTACCTTATTAAGTAATTGTTATCAGGTATAGTAATTGTTAATTTTGAAGTTTAAACATCAAGTTAAAAATGTCATTTTAACAGAACGTCAACGGTTTCTTGTAGACGTATCTGTTTTAAAAAAGTAAAGTGTTCTAGGAAAGTGTTCTCGAATAGTTGAATTTAAATATTTTAAATAGTTTTTTTTCTTTATTCTTTGTATTTTTTGCTTCCGACGACGGAAAGAGATAATTTTCCGAAACGTTAAGCATTTTTTTTTCTTTGTTAGGCAAATTTGTATTACTGTAAACATAGCTTCTATAGGTTTAACGCAGAAGTGTTTACAAAAAATAATTATTTTATTTTGTAGATTTTCTTGCAGTGCAGTGGCGAAATACCCATAAAGGATTTTTTTGGAAAGATGAATCCGCCACATAGGTATAGACATTTTTTATGTTTTATTAATATTAAAAACTTCTTGGTAGCAAACAAAAATGTACTAGTACTTAGAATAAATAGAAATCGTAAATTATGAATATTTAGATTTTATTTTATTTTTCTTATCTTTTAGCAACATAGCTAATACATATTTCAATAAATATTATGGTAAACCATAAAAATGGCAATAACTTTGGAATAATAAAACTTGTTTTTTTTTATTTAAGCTACTGCTTTTGCTAGACATACAGGGAGATTACTAAACAAACTATTTTTTCAAAAGGGCCAAAATTTGACTTTTAAATGATTATTAAATTATTTAACAATTGTTAATTTCAAATTTTTCATCTAATTCCTTCTTGAGTTCCTCTATTTCCTTCTCATAGTGAAAATATTGCATTTCTGTTTTCAAGGTTTGGGCAATAATCATAGATGTTATATTATATATTTAAGTTATTGATGTTACCAGCTTGTTCAGCTTGCTTGGCTTTTGCTTTTTTTATTGACTGTAACCGTTTTTTCTTAGTTGACAACAGAGTTTCTGCCAATGTTGGGTTGGGGGAACCAGAATAATAGCGCAAGCTAACTTTGTCCTTATTAAAGACTGATTAACGAATTTATCAATATCATAACATCCGTGTTCGAAATTTTTATTTGAACTTTGAAATGTGCTGAACTAGTTATAGTTTTTGCGAAGTCAATTGGAGCAGGAGGGAACTCTTAATTTTGGCACTGTCTTTGTGGGCGCCATTGTCGGCATCGTCTGGACAAACGAATTAAGTTCCAGTATTTCCAATTGTGTTCGAAAATACTATACGCACTATTGTCTCTGTTATAGCGGATTTGGTTGTATTTTTATTTCTTAATTTTTAGAATCGGATTATTTACAAACAAGATTATGTAAGTATTGGTGATCATTGATACTATATCTACATATATTTATCAATCACTAGTATCATAAGTATCTACTCCCAGTACATCATATACTTCATATAGAGAGTGAGTACTACATGTACTACTGTACATATCTACTCAGTAGATATGTAGTACATTAAGTAGATACTGATCATGATAAGTATCATGATTATTAAGTATGTACTTAAAGTTGTGCCTTGTTACCTCAGCAATCCTACATTTTACAGCAAGATCAGTTATAAAATGAAAATCTGTTTGAATTTTTGTAACCAATTGCTCCAATATTAGTGGCTCATTAGCATATTTCGAAAAAGCTTCTTTTAGAAATAATTTGGTACCACACCTTGGTATTTCGAGTCAAATTGTCGTTATGAACCGCAATTTACAATTTCAAATAAACTATATGCGAAAATGTCAAAAGTTGAATCAAAATTCTATTCAGAATGACATGTCATATGAATAAAGTAAAAATCGAATAAAGTAAAAATCGAAAAAAGTAAAGATCGAATAAAGTAAAAATCGAATAAAGTCTATCGAATAAACTAAAAAAATATCGTAGTCCAGGTAAATAAGAAGTGTTTCCGAACATTTATTTTATAGCTTTAATCGATGGCTTTGATGATGTAGAATAATAAGCTAAAAGTCCCAAAAAATCGCGCTTGAGCTTCAGGCGCCACTTTGAAAAACATGGGCGCCAAGGCTTTTTTTAAGATTAGCGATAATTCAGCAACCAATTATGCAATATATAAGCTGTATGAGTGTAATAAAAGCTGCAGACTAATAAGTTTACTTTAAAACTCATTCTCGTTTATTTCCATAGTCCGTATCCAACATTAGAACAAACAAAGCTTACGTGTGAACTAGGCCGTGGCAGCTTGAATATTGTTACGTATTTTTTATTTTTGGAGCAATAATTATAGCTGTATATTGTATAAAAGATAATTTTATTGATTTAAATATTTTTTAAAACGCTAATACTAATTTCCTATTATTAATAAAATGTAGAAAATAAAATAACTTAAATTTGGAGGGTAACTTTTCCAGAATATGAAATAAGAAAAATTTAAACATCTAAATGTTCTTCTTCAATGCAGGCGTATTTGCAATCTATGCCATGACAATTCTGGCACATCGGCTGTCCAAAATAAAAACCAAGTAACTATAAATTTCTTGGAATCGAGAAAAAACAGTTTTTGTGATTTTTACCAAGCCGCTTAAAACAAATGAGTTTATGGGGAAAAAGTTTTAATTGCTTATTATGTACGATAGAAAAGGATTATGTCCATACATTTTTGGACATCTTTCTCCAAAATTGGAAGATAGGCATGAAAAAAATTGTTTTTATTTTTAATTAAGAACAGTACTTGATGGACCAAGGTTTTCGATCTTTTGCTTAAATAAGTTGAAGTCGACATCCTTCCCCAATGAAATCTCTTTGAATACTAACTAACTTCCGTAAAAAAACATCGTTTAATAGTGATTTTTAATGTTAGTTTGGAAGGGGTAACAACTTAAAAACAAACTAAGACTTACTTTGTTTTTAAGTTGTTATTCCACGATACTTACGATACGCACATTCCAAGATAAAAACGATCTAACTGCAATTCAGTTACTTCCTTTTTAATATTGCAAAATGCGTTTACTTTGTTTTTAATTGGAAAACGCATAGTAACGACTGCAGTTACTTTGTTTGGCTAGTATCATAACTTCGTTATTTATTATCCGATTGAAGAAATTTTAATACCAAAATGTCCGTAAGAAGGCAGTAAGTGCCATTAAAGTAAAAACTAATTTTTTTAAAAAATGTCAGTTACTTTGTTTTTATTTTGGGCAGCCGACATGCTACTACAACGCCCAACTTCTGAATATACGCACTTTTTTTGGCATGCGTTTCTGCATTTGCAGTAAATAAGTTTTAAAAGCTCTGGGGGTGCTGGAGACTCCTGCATAGCCAATGGAAACATTTGGTTATTATATACCTTCCAGCCAAAATCTTCCGGTGTAGGATTGTACCCCAGCCAAACTTGGATCTGATGCTTTGCCCTATAATGTGAAACGAGTTCATTTAAAACTTAAAGTTTATATAGACACGTGTTTACCTCAATATGTGTTGATTTAATGCATCCTTTGTGGCTGGAAGAATAGCCAAATCGAACGATTTTTTCAAAGTCTGTTTACCAATGTAAATATTATAAAGTCATTGATTCATTGATATTATTGCTGCCAGCTAGTCCGTACATTAAACTTACAAATTCTTGTCCAACTTTTAGTATTATATCCTTATCAGAATTGAAATTGTTGAAAATGAGTAGTTTCTCTTGCATCCATTGATGTTTTTTAATGACATTTAATGCTGCGGCTTTACCTTTCGAATACGAAGTAGTATGGCATCCGCTGATTGCATGCATAAAGAGAAGGTTGTTAATTATTAAAGGGAAGCCCAAATTCGTACAGACATCAACAATATTAAAAATGGAGTCGTAGTCTTCTCGTCCAGATTTTTTGAAATATAAGTTGCGTAGATTTTTTTCCAGAACAAGAGATAATACTATTAGGTCAGTATCTTCTCCAACAAGAATTACAGATACATTTGTATTTTTAAAGCAACGACCACCCGCTTAGTAACAAATGCATATCGCACCCGCGGCCGCGACTGATCTTAATTATAAGGGGAGGGGTCGCGGCACATCTAATAGTCTATGAAAATACGATTATGAAAATACCAAAAAGGACAAAATGAAGAAATATCATTATTTTACAACATTCATTTGAAGTTTCATGTTTTTTGATGCAGATAACATGCCAAAGAAACGATGGAAAAATTGTTTTTTATATATTTTTGCGAAATTCCTTGATTTTTGATTAATAATTAACGACATTTTTATCATACTAAATGTGACGAATAAAACAAAAAAAAAAACTTGTAAATCGGATAATCGGTTCTCGATTGCTGAATTGTCACTAATATTTAAAAAAGGTCTTGGCGGCCATGTTTTTCAAAATGGCGCCTGAAGCTCAAGTACGATTTTTTGGGACTTTTAGCCTATTATTCTAGGCCATCAACACTATCGATTAAAGCTGAAAAATAAATGTTCGGAAACACTTCACTCAAACCCTTGTTTTTGATGAGATTTGCCTGAGCTATCGAGGGTGTCATTTAAAAGTCAAAAATTGTAGTCATTTCCAGTAAAACAGGAAGTCGATCACTTCCTGTTTTACTTCCAAACCAAACAATTGAATACGTCAATCGATCCTGATTTATATGTCATATACTAACGTACCAAATCGCGTGTTAGGGGTGATCCATTTTTGAGAAACAACCGGTTGGCAAATTTGGCTTCTGGCTTCTAAGGTGTATTTCTTTTTTACTGATTACCGAAATTACCGACCATTGAAGACGATTTAGTGGTAATATTTTACCGCGTTCTTTTTAACCGGTAAAGCGATAAATCGATATACCGGTAATGCAACAGGTTGTTTCGGTCTGTATTATTAAATTAAATAAATATAATAAAAATAAATATATATAAAAAATAAACAAATTCTTACCTTGAACGTTAATATCCCACAACACCACCGTTACTCCTAATTTTCCTAACCTCAACGCGACCAGCCGACCTATACCCGATCCTCCGCCAGTCACCAAAGCTATCTCCCCCTTTAAGTCTTTTTGGTGTCTGTACGACTGTGGCAAGAAGAACTTATATATCGCTTTAAGGATATAAAACGCAGATACAAGCAAAAACACTATGATATCCGTGGTCGATTTCAGCAATTTTGGTTCCTTTTTGATCAGGTGCAGTTTTTCTGTCACTGATTGCTCAGTAGGTGGAGTTGGGGATGGTGGTTTGAAAGGTGGTTCTTCTACGTAAGTCATTTTGTTGATGACTAGTTGCAGCTAATTATATCTTAGATTCTTCAGTTTACCGTTGGTGATGCATAGTTTTTGTGGATTTATTGTGATGTGGTTCTGAAGGAAGTATTATAGAATTATCTGAAAATAAAAAAAAAAACGTGTTAGCAGTTTCATGAGTTTCATTTTCAGAAAATTAAAAGATTATCTAAGTTTTTCTAATACATAAATTAAACTGTAAAATAAAACACTAATACACCAGAATATACCCAAATACTTTAGTTTTAAAAACTTGAGCGTAAAATTAAATTTTCATGTATTTTATATCTTGTGTTTTAGTTAACCGATTTTGATGATTTTTTTTAACAATTTGTAGCTAAATTATTTGAATTTTTAGTGTCTTTTTCTAAATTAAAAATGAAAGTTACCATCTGTCAATTATACGAGGGAAAACAAAATCTTAATATTTTGGTGAAAGTTTGAAACACCCTGTGGAGTACGTTATCATAGCAAGGAATTTAAAAATAAATTTATCATCTAGGTGTATCTTTTCTCGATAGTTTGTTTTTTGATTCATCTCAATAGCTTTATTTTTTTTTTGAAAATATTCGCTTTTGAAGATGACACACCAACATGTTTTCGTATTTTTTACATTAAAACCATACCTCTGCCTTTGGTCCTAGTCAACAGACCTATAAAATAGTGGTTATGATTTATGTAATGTCACTGTCTTTGAAAAATCATATATATTATGTCTAGCAGATATGGTTTTAGGTCCAAAAGTTGAACTCTACTATGATCAATTAAAGCAACAATAGACGATTATTCAGAACTTAAAACCATCTCTACCAGAGTAAATGTCAATAAACAATCGTCAAAGATATTTCTAGACTTTCTATCATAATTCCATTTCAATCACAGTGACATGACAAAAACAATAAGCACTATTTTATAAGTGTGTTGATGAGAACCCAAAATCAATGCTAAAATTGCGTTAAAATCGTTACTGTCTTATTCAAAACCGAATATCTCCAATAAAAATAAATCTATTGAGATGAATCAAAAAACAAACTATCGAAAAATAACGTACCTAGATGATAAAAGGATTCTTAAATTCCTTGCTCCACACATTCTACAGGATGTTTTAAACTTTCACCAAAATATCAATATTTTGTTTTCCCTTGTATAATTGATAGATAGAAACTTTCATTTTTAATTTAGAAAGAGATACTCTACTACTACTAAAACTCTATACTACTAAAACTTTATACTACTAAACAATCAAATAATTTTGCTACAAATTGCTTAAAAAACAGCAAAATCGGCCTACTAAAAGAAAGTATATTAAATTTTAAAACACGTCAAAATTTTAAGGTGCCCGTTTGCCGCTGAGTGTAGGTATATCTATAGGTACCTATGTCGCAGGCATATCGAATAACTCTGCATTTTGCAAAAATACTAGGCATATTATAAAACGCCGGCGTTTTTGACAAAAGAAGGATATTTTACAAAGAGCTTATTAGTTTCCAGTCGCTTTGCAAAATTCCTAATGAAGACTAGTCAGATTGCACAAAACATTTTACGTGGGATTGGTATAACTAACCTAAATTCATCCAACGACATTTCTTGAACTTCTCTTTCAAAATTTGGAAATAATGGCACAAAAAGTGATAATTCTGTTAAATAGAGTATGGTTGAGGATGATTATTATAAAGATCTAAATTCGCTTTATTCTAAAAGAAAGCAAAGTTCCACAAAGAAGTAGCCCTGTACACAGAATCGAATTACAGAGTATAATAATTAAATGTGATATCAATATTAAGGTTTTAATTTTTAATATATTTTGTATTTAAAATTATATTATTTATAATTAAAATTTATGAAATAGAATTCAAATTGTTTTCGTCTAAACATAATAAAAATGTGACATAAATAAATAATTATTGTTATAGTACAGGAAAATAGGGGATATTTTTATTAAAGAGTAAATTATTCAATAATATGCTTATACTCATAGCTGACTAAACTTTAATTATTTTTTAATCTTCCGGGCCTTGATTCTCGATCTGGCACTTTGTAAAATGACTGAAAACAGGCAGTCTTTTTGCAGAAGTGTATACAGAAAATATCATTATTGTTTAATATGTCTAATTCTGATTAGGCTTTTTGCAAAGTGACTGGAAATAGATAGGCTTATTGTAAAATTTCCTTTTTTTGTGCAAAAATCCGGCGCTTTAACTAGCTATATCATAATTATGATATAGCTAGTCTTTTTGAAAAAGGACGGATTATTCTATACGCCTGCGCCTGCGACTGCATTTGAAGGTAATTTCCATTTTTTAACTGCTTGGCCATTGTTATATTCAATATTTAAGATCCTCGAAACATGAAATTTCTTTATATTAGGCAGTCCCTGCCCTGATATGCTAATCATCCCTGATTGCAATCATCAAGAAAAACTTGCCTTTCTATTATTAATTTTGTATTATAGGCGATGCATTTACCATTTTCTGAAAATCTCACGAAATAAACATGATCAATTCAGCTACACAAAGTATAATGCATTCTTTCAAAAACTGAAGTGATTTATTTTAACTCAGCATATATTTGTAATTATCATACAGCAGAAATTATTTTAAAAAATTGCGTTTTTTGTGTCGAATAGTTAGTAAATAGTTAAACCAAATTCAAAAGTAAGTTATGAGTTACAGTAGTATTACGAGTAGATATAAAAAGAAAAAAATCTACAAGAAGTGTCTTATTATTTTTGACCATGGCTGTACCTACTTGTGTAATATTTTTGAGATAGATACCTTGACCTGAAATTTGTTTTGTCATGATTATTTAATAAAAATAGTGGCTCTCGGATACTAACAAGTTAATTAAAAATGGTATTAAGCTAATTAAAAACTTATATAAATTACGCCTCTTTATCACCTATATTTTCTTTCAGATATATACACTGAGAGAAAAAAAAAACAATAACTGAAATAATAAATAATCAAATATATTTTGTAACAAATAACTGAAATAATCAACTATATTTTGTTACTTTTAAATAATATACAGGGTGAGTCTTAAATAAGTGCAAATATTTTAAGGGTTAGTATATTTCGGCCCCAGAAAAACGATTACCTATGAGATTTTTTTCGCAAAAATTTTTTTTTGGAAATTTGAAATTTTTGAAAAAAAATTAGAATTTTTTTTAGTTAAAACACCTACTTTCTTGATAATATGGCTACAAATTGGTAGTAGTTTAAATTGACAAGAAAGAAAATATCCAGCGGTTCTCAAAATTTAAGCAAAAAATATTTTTTTTTGGAAATTTTCAAAGTAAAATAACTCGGTTATTTTGGACTTATTTGAAAAACCGCAAAGAGAAAATATATTTCTTTTATCGAGATCTACCAACATTTGCACATATTTAAGACTCACCCTGTATATTATGTTGAATAAAAAAATATGCTAGTTTCTGTAATGTTTGGTTATCTGTGACTATTATAGTTGAAATGAAAAAAAAAGTAGTTTGCAATAATTCTTGTGATTAAATAAAATATATGTAGGAGTGGGGTAGTTTTTCTTGATTTTTGTGAAAATCAAATATCAAAACAATTAGCAAATCATACGTAGTAGTTCTATGTCCACGATATTGGGACACCCTGTATATATATTTAATAAAGTGTCAAATACTGAAAATTTTAATTTTAATTACTAATACGTTATTCATTAATATTTGCCTAAATTAAATGAATTTTAATTAGAACAAAAAATGCTACTTATCATACATTATTAATACATTTAATGATATAATTATTTCTTTCTCATCGGTATTTTCTTAGAAGTAGTTTATAACATTAATATAGAAAAACAATAATTTATTAACAATAATTATAATAATGACACTAAATTATATTCAATGACTTCCTTTTTTTTCGAAAATAATTCATGTACTACTTTGTTATTACATAACTGTAATAAAAAAAAACATACATTTATTTTATTATTTCGTATTTCTAAAATATTAATTGTTCGTTGCCTGTACTATTGTTAATTGTATAACTTTTTAACTTAAAACACATAAAAATTAAAATTGATGTTTAACTATATTAAACTTAAACTTTAACTAAAAATATCAACACTTTTCTGTTTTAGTGAAATTGGCAGCCATTAATTAGTTATTAATAATTATCAAATTGATTAGTTGGTAATTGTAATAGTTTATAATGTATAATTAAAAAACATATTTTTTAAATTTGTATAGTGTAAAAGCACCTTTTTCATAATTATGAACATTTTTGTATCTAATTAAATTAGAAGAATTATTAATAAATAATTATATTCTGTCAATTGCGAACGCATGAGCAACATTGTGATTGTATTATTGGCAATATAAAAGTAGTAAAGTCTATATAAAGAATATTTTAAAATTAATATGCATGATAGAGAAAATGCTTGTTTCTTTTAGTTTAGATGTTTTGATACCTATATACAGTTTTATTTTGTTTCAGTAGGACATCAACCCGAATTTATTATTTGTTTAGATTTGTTGCTTATATTTATAAATAGTTATTTTAATATATAGTCACGTAAACATGGAATAAAGTAGTGTATAATCAAAAAAGAATGCAATCATTTTATATTATTACTCCCGGCAAACGCTGCGCTGTTTTGCCTTAGAATACATAAATTATTCGTGTGATTATAGTCTATAGCTGATTTTTTGTGTGAAGTATCCTTTTGTTTAGCCATTAATAAATAGTCATATCTGCCAGCGCGATCCCGGGGCTTAAAGCGGGGGCGGCCAATCGAAAGGGTGAAATTTTGACACCAAAAATATTATAAGATACATGAGTTATAATTACGAAAATAGCTTTAATTTATTATTAAGAAACGTGGAAAATTGTTGGCAGACATTTTTCTAGTCGCTAATATGTCGACAGACAACGCGAAAGAGGCATGAAATTTTAAAAATTATTAAAAAATGAAATTTGAAGAATGAAAAAAATTATGGCATATTTGCATGCCGATTGGTGAAATGTCATATTTATTTATTTTAAAAGCCGTATGCAAAAGGGCAGACAAAAAGATCGTGTCTCAATCAGCTGCAAACAGTTATCAAAAGCGCGATATTACTCTAGCGCTTTATTCAGGGAACGCTGGCCCCCTCATCCATTTAAGTATAGATAAATCATATAATATACGATTATATTATAAATATATTTTTTTATTATTTCAATAACGATTTTTTTGTCTGCCCTTTTGCACATACGGCCTGTTAAATTAATTAACAATAAACATGACATTCCACTAACCGACATGCATGTATGCGATGATTTTCTTTTGTCAAAATTATATGCCTCTTTCGCGTTGCCTGCCGGCATTTCAGCCACGAGAAAAATGTCTGTCAACAATTTTACACGTTTCCTAATAATAAATAAAAGCTATTTGGCAGTTATAACTCGTGTACCTTATAATATGTTTAGTCTCAAAATTTCACCCTTTCGATTAGCCGCCCCCGCTTTAAGCCCCGGGATCGCGCTGGCAGACATGACTATTTCACAATGGCTACACAAAAGGATACTTCACACAAAAAAATAGCCATGTAACGATGATAAGGTTTTTTATCTAGCCAGCTCTCGGTCTGTTACGCCTGGCTGGGATAACTGATCAAGTGATAATTGATCAGCTATCGACCGGGGTTGAAAATTATTAAATTTCTAATATCTCTGTTAAAAAATAGAGGTTGATGGTAGAAGGGTGAAATTTTAGTGTTGTATGTATTTTTTAATGCCACGTTATAAAAAAATTAAAAAAAATTGTCCAAAAAATAAAAAAAAATTGGGGTGAAACAACATATTCTTAGGCCTATTAAATATACAAATAAAGTTTCATCAAAATCAGTCAAGCCATTTTGGAGGAGTATGGTAACTCAAACTGTGATACAATTATTATGTATTAGATATAGAATTGCATTTAAATTTTCTCATTCATAAAATATTTAAAAAAATATAACAGTTTAATTAAAATAAAATATGATTTAAAAGAGTAATTTCATAATTTTTTATTTGTCAATAGGTACTTTGTTTATATACTTCTATACAACTAATATTGTTAATATTAGTGAACTAATTTTAACCACAATACACCATGTAGATTAAATCATTTTTACCCCCAGTTTAAACAAAAAAGTTTTGGTATATTGTTTGTGTTTTTTACTTATTCATATACAGAATTGTCTAGTATACTGAAAAAACTGTATTATCAGATGTTATAAGTATTCCAGTTTTTTTTAGCTTTTTTTACAAATTTTACGAAAATTTTATAAAAAATTTTATAAATATACAGGGTGATATAATATGTTAAAACTAAGGTTTATTTTTTAAACGGAATGCTGTATATTTTTTTCTATATGAATTGGTTATGATATTCGCATTCCAAAAATACCAGTTATAATCTTCTCCATCAATTGGTTTTTGAAATGCCCCATGAAGAATGGAATAATAAATATGAAATATAACACTTGATATGGAGCTTTAATAAAACCCTGAGCTGCGCTAAATGTTACATTTATAGAGGGTGACTCTTAAATAAGTGCAAATATTTATAGGGGTGGTATATTTTGACCCCAGAAACACGATTATGAGTATATTTTTGGCGAAAAAAAATCAAAATTTGGAATTCTTTGAAAAAAAAAATTGAATTTTTTTTAATTAAAAAACAGAATTTCTTGGTAATATGGCAACATAGGTAGTAGATTAAATTTACAAGAAGGAAAACCCAGAAATCCAGCGGATCCAGTGGTTCTCAAAATTTAAGCAAAAATATTTTTTTTGAAATTTTAGTAAAATAATTTTTATTTGAAAAAACGGCAAAGAGAAAATATGTTTCTTTTATCGAGATCTACCAGCCCTGAAAATATTTGCACTTAATATAGTGCAAATATTTTCACCCTGTATATTATTTTGTATAAAAAATTAGGTTAATTTCTGTAATATTTGGTTAACTGTGACCATTTTAGTTCAGATGAAAAAAAGTAGTTTGCAATAATTCTCATGCATTTTATGAATTTTAGTATAAAGGAATTTAATTTTTGGTTATTTTATTTATATATTAGCTACAAAAAAGTTTCTTGCATTATTTCATAGAATGGCGATTTTAGACTTTACTTTTATTATTGCAGACACATACCTATATAAAAAATTAGTATGTATTTTTTAATTTAATACCTACCTATTTTTTCTAAATATACAGACTACATAGCAGGAGGATAATTATTAGTAGAGTTGTAGATAAATTTAGATAGATAAGCTAATTATTAGTATATCATATTATAGTGGTAATTTAAAAATCTACTTAGGTGCTGAAAATATTATATATTCTATTATATTTTTCTTCTACATATCTTATTTATAAGACCATATTATTTTTCTAAAAATATGTCATAAAATACTAAAATCTTTTAACTCTAACAACTTTCCTAGCTAAGCACTTCTGGTGTTATACATATAAAAAGGTATATAGTTTAAACATTAATACACTTGTAAATTTCAATAGAAATATAATCAGAATAAAATAACAATCTACTTACAATATTTTCCAAAACCAAAAATATAAGTATCTTAAAAAAATCACATGGAAATCAAAAAATCACTGAATTGTTTATGCGGGATATTTTTTCGAATTTCACTATTTTGTAATCACAAGAATGCCGTTCACCGAAAACCAACGAACGTATCTGCCAAGGCGGTTGACTTTTAGCGGACTTGATAATGTCGAATCGGAATGGTACGACACCTGTTCTATCTCTAATATGGTACTACACCGTCGATGGTTCGCGGTTCTTGGTTTATAAGAGACTGAAGGTCGCAAAGTCCAAGCTTTTTGGGGCCGGTTTTTGGCGCATCGGACGCCACGATTTGTTACAAAATTACCGAAAAAAGGTCCAGCGTCCACCACAGAGATAATTTACGTCTTTATTCTTGTATTTCGTGTTGGAAATATTCCGTTTGCGTAATTAGGGAGTGTTATACAGGGTGTCCCAGAAATAAGTGCATGTATTTTAAGGGGTGGTAGATCTGGTCAAAAAAACATTTTTTCTCTTTACCGTTTTTCAAATAAGTCCAAAATAACCGAGTTATATTACTTTGAAAATTTCCAAAAAAAAATGATTGAGATTGAGAACCACTGGATCTTTTCTGGATTTTCTTTCATGTAAATTTAAACTATCACCTAGGGGAAAGGGGGGCACTTTCGGCCATCGGGTACATTCGGCTACCCCAATTATTTCATAAACTGTTTCGAATTTAGCGTCAGTTTTGCTCGTAATCTGTCACTTGTCATAAGTGTCCATTCGCAGTTGAAAATTGATGGTGTATAGGTGAAAGAAAATATTTTGTGAAAAAAATTGGTTTTACAAGCGAAAAGGTAAGATCTTTTCCCCTACATTTTCTCTTATAAGTTGTGCATTTTTTGTTCGATCGACGTGGTTTATAAGTCATATGTTAGTGGAGAAATCTCGCTCTTGATTTCAAGCAAAATTATAACCTGAAAACCTCTGTTTACAAATTTTCGTGTTCAAAACCTTATTTTGGTCGGGTGGGTAACATTCGGCTATGAAACCTTCTGTACCACCTTCGCCTACCCACCTACCCACCTCCCCCTTTATCCCACTTCTGCGATAGCTCTTGGAAACAAAACTGGATGGATGACCGCAGAACGTTTTCCCAAAGTGCTTGAACATTTTGCTGGTCACGTAAAATGCTTCTTGGATAATAAGGTTCTCCTTATTATAGACAACCACGAATCACACATCTCGGCTGACGCCATTAAAGTTTGCCGCGAGAGAGGAATTGTGCTATTAACAATTCCTCCTCACACATAGATTGCAGCTCCTGGATACGGGAATCCATTACTGATTACCATTAATTAATCCATTACAAAAACTATCGGATATATATCCTATATATAGGATCGCTCAGCATTCGTCTCTTGGCACGCATGGCAAAAGTTACTTATGAAGGGCTTTTTACTATAAAAAATATTATCAGCTCTTTTAAAAATACCGGTCTCTGGCCTCCCAACCGACTTGTATTTTCTGATTCCGATATCATGCCGAGTGAAGTAACTGACAGGAAGTTGCCCAGTGATGAGCAAACGTTGACTGTTGAGCAAGCATCGATTGTTGAGCAATCGTCGACAGTTGAGCAAGTGGCGGATGAGCAAGAAATATTCATTGAACCCATTCATTTGTCACCACCAAGGGAAGAAGGTTCTTCATCAAAAGGTTCAAACTTATTGACCGATATAAGACCCTTTCCAAAAAAAGTTATATCGGGACTAAAGGAACCTAAAAAACAAAAAGGCAGATCAGCTATTTACACAGATACTGCTGAGTATAAAAAAGAGGCAAAGCTTGGAAGAAAAAAAAAACGAAAACGATCTGTAAAAGAAAATAAAAAAGTTAAAAGGAACATCACTACAAGTGATAGAAAGAGGAAAATGTCATCATCCAATGAATCCAGTGTTGATATTTATTACAATGAGTCATCCGATGACGAAGAGTTTTTTGAAAAAACAGCAGAAATATACGAGGGGGTTGATATTGTTAATGGCAATTTTGTGCTCGTGAAATTCGTGGTTTCGAAGTTTGATATTTATTTTATTGGGAAAGTCCAAGGATTAATGGTAAGATTAAAGGTAAATGAGGACTTTGAAGTATCATTTTTAAGAAGAAAGGGGACATCAAATAATTTTGTGTTTCCTGATGCTGAAGACATCGCCTTGATAGAAAAAAAAAGATATTGTTGCCATTTTACCCCCTCCTATTAAGCGCAAGGTACTTCAAGAGTTGGGAATTTCCAGAAGTTTAAGGTTAGCTTCGGGGGTTTAACTGTGCGTTAATTATTTATTTAGTGACTCAGAAAAAGATCTATTGTTCAGCTAGTTTTAGTAGCGATATTATTATCATTTATCCTTAACAACCTTATGTTTTATCTTTATTTAGAAGTTTATTATAGAATTTAAGAAGTTTTGTTCAGCTAGTTTTAGTAGAAATATTATTATCACTTATCCTTAATAATCTTGTGTTTTATGTCTATTTTGAAGCTTATTATAACAGACAAGATGTTCTTTCCGAATATTAAAATATTTGTAACGTTATTTTTTTATTATTTTTTTGTTATGCTTTAAACAAATATGAAACAATGCCGAATGTTCCCCACCACATAGCCGATACTGCCCCACCAGTCGGACACATTCAGCTAAATGTCAAAAAAATTATAATCTTAAAATTTTGATATATACACTTTACTTAAAATTACTTTTTTACTTAAAACAAATTCGTAATAGACAACACTTCCATCACTTCCAATTAGTTTTTTCTAATTTTTTTGTATTAGATTTTTTTGAAGGGGCGTTAAAGTTGTACTTTCGTCTAGAATTTAGTTTTATTTGGAATAAGCATTTAAATGTTACTTGCAAAAATCTATCTTCAAAATACTAAAATTTTATAATACGGCCCATCGGCCTATAGAAAGCTACAATTAAAATACCAGTAAAAATATGATCTTGTCATTGTCAAATTCGATGTCACATTTTGTTTACAACAATCAACAACAATTTATGTGGTTTGAAAAGGCTTATCTATACAAGAATTAGTTAAGTTGAGAATAGTGTTCGCGGTGTATAATCTATGTGTTTACTGTTCATTACTCCCAGAGGCTTTTTCTTTTTTGCGACGTTCGGATTTTGTCCGGAGTTCTGAGTTCACTTGTTCTGAATTGCCAAAAGCCTTTATGGAAACCCAAAGCATACCCAAATGACAGATGATGTGAGGTATTTCGTAGCTAAGAGTTTAGGCACTTGCAAACGATAGGCCATTATACAGGATGAGTCTTAAATAAGTGCAAATATTTTCAGGGCTGGTAGATCTCGATAAAAGAAACATATTTTCTCTTTACCGTTTTTCAAATTTAAGTCCAAAGAAAATGATTTTTTGCTTAAATTTTGTGAACCACTGGATCTTTTCTGGGTTTTCTTTCTTGTAAATTTAATCTACTACCTATGTTGCTATGTTATCAAGAAACTATGTTTTTTTAACTAAAAAAAATTCCCAATTGTTTTTCGCGAAAAAAAACCTCATGATCGTGTTTCTGGGGTTGAAATATATTACCCCTAAAATATTTGCTCTTATTTAAGGCTCACAATATTTAAGACTCATTAATCAACTATACAGGGTGATATACACACAACCAAACTTATATGGAATCACTCTTTATTTCTGACTAAATTTCTTGTTTTCTTTATTAAGGATAAAATTGCTCTCACCGAACAAGGATGCTCCAAAGAGACGTAGCAGGGATAGTAGGCGTTACCCAGGCTGTTGTATCGAAAACATATGCAAGATACTTGGAATTAGGAACACATAAGGATAGGCCCAGACAAAATCGTCAGAGTTAGAACTGAACAACAAGACCACCTTGTGGACCAAATTGCTAGAATAAACCCCAATGTTTGTCATCCAGAACTACAAAGAGAACTTCTGACAGCTACAGGTCTGAAAGTTTTTAGTTGAAACCATAACAAAAAGGTTTCGTGCTCGAGGATTTTACAGTAGGAGAGAGTTACGGATCTCACAGTTATATCGGCAAAATAAAATTGACCGGCTAAATTGATGCCTTCAACATCAAAACTGGACAACTGGGAATTGGCAAAATGTTTTTTTTTCGGATGAGACCAGAATTGGCCTAAGATCAGATAACCATCGAATTCGGGTTTTGGGAGCTCCAGAAAGACGAGCGCGACTTCAGGCTGCCAAATCTGTACCAAGATATAAAGGTGGAACTATAATATTCTGGGGAGGTATTATACTGGGAGCAAAATCTCCGTAACAATGGAGATTCACTTCAAAAAATTTTAACGGGTCAGAGATATGTTGACTTGGTGCTAGACCCAATCGTTAGTCTTTGGAGAGCTGCAATTGGTTATAACTTTAACTTCTTGTACGATAGTGCACCTACCCATACCAGCAGAGTGACTAGAGAATGTCTTGAAACGGAAGGGGTTATAGTTTTGGATTGGTCTGCATGTTCACCAGATCTAAACCTTATCGAACACTTGTGGGACTAGCTCAAAAGAAGGGTTAGAGCTCGTCGAAACAATCCAGGAAATCTTGCACAGCTGATTGATGTAGCATTAGCATAATGGGAAAACATACCCCAAGACAATGTTGATAATTGAATAAGAAGCATGCCAGCGCGAATAGAAGCTTGCATAATTGGGCTAGAGGTGGCAACAAGGAATATTAAAATTATTAATTTTCTTTTTGTTTTTGCTTTTTGGCCGTTAAAAATTTAAATCTTAATTTCATTTCAGAAACCAAAAAAATACCATTTTGTGTATTTTGGGAACTGATTAATGTTTTTTATTGCTATATAGATTATTTTTCATTAAAAGTCATTGGTAAGGACTGAGTTTTATTCATAAACACAAAATTTTCATACGTCTCAAAAATTACGAAAAATAATAGATGATTCCATATAAATTTGGTTGTGTTTAGTTGAGGCTCGCGGCTCGGAATCCGCGTAAACAAGGTAGATCCCTTCAGGTTATCCCCGCCAGCAAAAAAAATGGAAATAATTTATACTATAGGTACATTATAGATATGAGAAAAATGAATATGAATGTTGAAAAGGTACTAGAGACACTATTTTTATATGCGTCTTAACATTATGAGAAAGTAATGCTCATTATTTAAGAAAGGCAGCAAAGTTTTTTTAACATTTCAATGATATCTAGATAGAAGTTTTTTTTATACTTATCCTTTTAAATAATCGATGCCATA